TCATCCTCCTGGTCCCTCATCAGTGACAGACCCTTGTTTCTTCAACATGTGTTTACTGAGCACCTACTATGTGTCAGGCATAGGAAACCAAGCAAAGAAATGAGGTGCCTGACCTGGGGAGTTCACATTTTAGTGAGGGAAAGCAGGTGCCTGCCAGACAAGGTCATATGGGGAGAAGGGTATAACGACAATGACAGGGAATGGATGGGACAGACTGATTGGAGGGACATCACTTTTTGTTTGGGGTGGGCAGAGGTTCCCCTCATTTGGTGCAATGACCAGAAAGAGTCATCCTGGGAAGAGTCCCCTCAGATTTGCATGTCAGCAGACTCTAGTCACTCACCATCTGTTCTCAGAGTCTGCACACCTAGCTCAACACAGCCAGGTGGGGTCCCTCCTCACCCCACTCAGCAAAGTTTGTTCCAGAAGATATACAGTGGCTTCCCAAAATGAAGACTGAGTTAGAATGAAACAGGAAATGCCACACAATATTTGCTTGACCTAGCAGCAGGGCCATAACCCCAGAAGCTGAGCAGGGACAGATGGAGCAGGTGGGCTTGCCTGTGGGTACTGGGAGGTAATGATTGTGTCTGTGAAGGTTCACCGTTGTAGCATGTGTTTTCACCTGGTGGGGATGTTTGATTGTGTGGGAACCTGTGTTTGCAAGGGGGCAAGGGGGCAATGCCAGGGATGTTCCACTGACAAGTGTAGGAAGGGGTGCTGGGAGCTGTTTATATTTGGGGGATTCTCCAGTAAGTAAGACTGCTCAGCATTGCATCACCTGCGTAACCATGGCCTCTTTTTCTCCATGCAGGCAGTGTCCCTGAGTCATTTGGCTGACTCTGGAGACAGTACCACATCCCCAAAACACCTCCTTGGGGATGGCAGCACTTCCCGAAGCTGGTAGGGAGGGAGGGAGAAGGAGTGGCCTTCAGTGATGCTGATGCCCTGCCTGGGATGCTTTTCCCACCTGTCAAGACTCCAGTTGGCATTTCCAACAGGGAGCCCTCTTGAGAATCCTGGGGAAGGACCTAGGAAGAGATTTGCTGTATTTCCCCAGGCCAGCATTTCTGTGTTTGGAGAAGATGAGAAAAGGGGCTCTGCAAGAAACAACTTCATGCACACATTTGTATACTCAGTCACTATTCAAGACTGCTTACAGGAACTCTGTGCAGGGCTAGCTACTGGAGGTACCTGCTAAGCCCAATAGACAGTGTTTTGTGTTTCCAGAGTTATGGTCTAGTGATAATTAACTGGTAGAGAAAATGAGAGGTTTAAGTGAGAACTCTAAGGGGCACCCAGAGAGTGGTGGGGCTCCTCTCGATAATGGTGTGGAGACTTGAGAGATGGGAAGATGCTCTTTGCCTCTCCCCACTAAATAAACACACTGATGTGTGATGGCTGGAGCTCAAGCTGCTGTTTTGGTCTATAAGACAACCCTGAGGCTAGAAGCCAAGTGTTAAAGCCAACTTTTAAAGCAAGAATAGAGGAGGCATCCAAGTCATTGAGGATGATCAACCTGCTGCATCAACCCAAAACATATCTACTCCAGGAGCTTTTTTTGTTGTTTTTACATGACAGAGATATAAACCTGCAACTTGCATAAGCTTGTTGGATTTTCTTATGTTCAGTTAAGCCAAATCTGAAGTATTACAGGCAGAAGACTTGGGATATTATTTAAAAAGCAGCAAGGAGTCAATGATGGTTTGAGCATGGGAGGGACATGGTGACAAAGATTTTCTTTTTCTTTCTAACTAAACTTTAGGTAGTCTCCTCCAAATCCTTTGCTTGACTGGATTTGGCCATGGGCTCCTGTCTTTGTCCTTGTTGAGTACAGTTTTAGCAGGAATCCTATCAAGTTGGTTTGGCCAGAGTCCCTCACCCTCAATATCTGATCACCTCACCCTTGACATTTGACCAAATTCCTCCTCTCCCACCAACCCTCAGGTGATGTCTGATCACTATGACCTGCTTTCTGCAAGAATCCTGTTAGGCCAATTCAGCCGGAATCTCCCCTGACCATTGAGGCTCCCTGACCATTACTAAGGGGGAGCCGTTAGTAATTCCCCCTCTACCCTGCTCCATGGGTCTAAATTCCCACTTTTCCTTGTTGCACTCGGAGCTGAGTGCAATTTCTTTCCCTTATTGCAAAACCCCATTGTTGAGCTCCTTCCCCCTATGGTGACAGCCCTGAATAAAGTCTGCCTTACTGTGTCAGTGTCATGAGTAATGTCTTCATTAGAAATGGTTGTATTTGAAAGATCATTCTGGCTGCTGCATAGAAAATTGGAGCGTGGGCATGAAATTAGGGGAAGGCAAAAGGGATGGGTGGAGGCTGCTGTTCCTGGTGGGACGGTAGAAGCCCAAGTCTTGGTGAGAAGAATGGGGACAGGAGTAGACAGGAGTTGCACTTTGAAGGGGAGAGTCTCCATTTCACCCTTGCTTTAAGCCCATACCTGGCTGCCTTCACTTTTTTTAAATCCTCACCCAAGGATATGTTTATATGGTTTTGTCACTGATTTTAGGGAGGGAAAGAAAGAGAACATCGATGTGAGAACCATTGATCAGTTGCCTCTCACTTACCCTTTGAGTGTGTGTTGTTCCCATTCAGGACTTAGGTTTATGCCCTGAATGGGAATCGAGCCTGCAAACTTTTAGTGTATGGGATGATGCCCTAACCAACTGAGCCACCATCCAGGGCCTGGCTGCCATCACTCTTGAAGGCGAAGCTCCCTAATTGAGACTCATACATTTAGCTCATTCTGCCAACTGCCATCTTAACCCACATGCTCTCTCACCTCAGGGCCTTTGCACATGCTCTGTGTAAACTCTCTTGAGAATGTCCTTTCTCTTGTTTAATTTCTCATCTTCTAGAAGATCTCGGGGGCAATTAGCACTTTCTGGAGAAGCCTCCTCTGACTCCTCCAGCACAGAGATTGTTCCTGCTGTGGGTGCACTGGGATTTTGTACCACTGTGTGATTACAGACTCAGCATCTGCTTCCCCTAAGAGTGTAACACTCTAAGGCGCAGGGCCAATGTGAGTTCTGTGTAGTCTAGGGCTTGGAACAGAGCTCATGTACAATAAACACTTGTCCAGTGGGTGGATGGCCAGCTGGCTCATTGGTCCTTATTGGGCAGAGAACTTAGGCCCGATTCTTCATTTCCTGTTGGCTCAAAGTCGTGCCACTAGGCTAGTGCTGTCAGAAGGAGCCAACATGGTGAAGTGATGGCACTGGCTGCAGGAGGTTGAAGCCAGGGCAATTGGGGAGACAGCTCCTCCCTGAGACCCGCTTTGTCTGATGGGCCTGAGGGTGAGACTCTCATTGAGCAATGCAGGCTCATCCAGCCTTGCTCATGACATCCTGGTCCTTGGTTATCCACCTGTCTGCAACTCCCCTGGGGTGGGGAGACTGGGTGGGCACTTTTTGTTCTGGGTGGTCCATGCCTGCCCAGCACAGTCTGGCATGGACAATACACCCAGGTAGTGACTGCAAACCACAACCACACCAATCTAGAGTGAAATTCTAAGAGGTTTCAATTGGTTGAGACTTTGAGAAGGGATTTGGGGAGAGAAGGAAGAAAAGAGGTCTTGGCCTCTTCTGGCTGCCATGACAAACTACCACAAACTGTGCAGCTCACACAACAGACATGTATTGCTCTCAGTTCTAGAGGCTGGAAGTCCAAGGTCAAGGTGCTGGCCATCTTGGTTCCTGGTGGAGGGCCCTCTTGCTGGCTTGTAGACAGCTGTCTTCTCACGTTGTCTTCAAAGGTCTGTGTGCTCCTGAGATGGCTTGAGGAGTGGAAGGGGGAGGGAAATGAGGGGCAGGCAGAGATCTGGGTGCCACCCCACTCCTGGGCCCAGGGGTCCCTCCCAGCACAGTTACAGAATACTACCCCCCCCCCCCCCCCCATCCCTGCCCTTCATTACCAACCTGGGTCAGGGCCCAGGGCTGACTCTAGCCTGTGCCTGGGGGCTGTTGGCCTCTCTGCCCTTCAGTTTCCACTCCCATAAAATGAGAGTGACATCATTTTACCCCCAGAGACAGAGGAGTCAAGGAGGGAGTGGGAATTAGAAATAAAATGAAACAAAGACAACCATAAAAGAAAACAGAACCGACAGCTTTCCCCGCGGTTCATTCTTTGCAGTTTCTTGCTTTCCTTTCCACCCCTCCTCTTTTCCCTTCTGTTTTTTGCTTGTTTCCCTTCCGCCCTCCCTTCATTCCTCGGGGTCATTCCTTGATCTCTGAGAGCATCCCGGACCATCCGGATGCTGCAGCGAAGGTCAGGTTGGGGCCGGACCGACACGGTGGGTTAGGGGAAGAACCTGTACTGGCAGGAAGACGGGATTCTCCCACTTTTTTGAGAAGCTCTCTGACCGCATGTGCGGCACAGGCAGCCACTGGCGTGCGGCACAGGCAGCCACTGGCCCCCGCCACTACTTGGAGACAGCTGCTGTAAGTCCCGCGCTCAGGCTGGTCTTGCGCACGCAGACACAAAGGTCTGATCCAGCTGCCCTGCCTGTCCCGCCCCTGCTCCCCGGGCTTCTGCCCGGGCTCCATTGGTTGGAAGTCCCTGGGGGCGTGTCCTAGGCAGTCCCGCCCTTTGGACCACGCCTCCTCCCCAGCCAAGCTCAGGCAGTCGGAGCCAAGCAGCTGGCTGAGCGGACTGGATCGACGGGTAGGAACATTTTCAGGGGACCCTAGGAGGGATGTGGCGGGGTGCCCCCAATCGGAGGCCTGGTATCGGCCGGGTGGGACATTGGCTTTCTCTGTGCCGCTGCTCCCAGTTAATCCCTTCGTTCAGGGTCTTCCAGCTGGCCGGCAGGGGGCACAGGGCAGGGACTGGCTAGGCCCCTAGGAAACATCCAGGTCGCGGAGGCCTGTTGGGGAGAGCGAGTTACTTATCCCCAGGCGGAGGGTGGGTGTGGCAGCAGCTGTAACGATTGGGAGCGGGGTTGTAGGTTGCACTTCCCGTCTAGCCACCTGTTTTCTGCTTGTAGGAAACCCTGCGGTCACTTTCGTCCCCGCGCTGGAACGTGGTTGGGGTGACTCTTGTAGTGATGGGGCGAGACTCGGAGTGGAGGTGTGGGGGGCGCTGGTCTGGGCGGTGGAGTCGGCCGCGCCATCTGTGGGTTGGCGGGTGGGACCTTGGCCAGGCCCAGCGGGGGAGGTGCGGGAGCTAGCGATTGGCTGCCTGTGGGGGAGGGAGAATAGTCGGGCGCTGGCCGAGTGTGTTTGCGGACGGATAGGGTGCCTTTAGGCGGAGCCGAAAACTTTGCCCGTGTACGCAGCCTCCCTCCTCTCAGGCGTGCTGGCAGCCCGTTTGCAGGCCGGAAACGAACTGTTCTTTTTCAATTTCTAAAAAGGAAGCCCCTGACCCCGACGGCCTTTCTGGGGTTGGTCTGGATATGTACTGGGGTGGGGGAGCGCAGATCAGCCCTCTCCCTCAGGGCTTCCGTTATCATAGGCAGTGGTGTCTCATTTGTCTATTGCAAACTGGGAAGCCTCCCGGAGCCTCAGTTTCCCATTCTGTAGACTGGGGATATAACTTATTTTTCTTGCTGTTAGAGCTCTGCTTTTTAAAATTTTTTGAAATTATGTTTTTATTGATTATGCTGTTACAGTAGAGCCAATTTTCCCCCTTTGCCCCCCTCCACCCAGCACCCCCACTCCCTCAGGCAGTCCCCACACCATTGTTTATGTCCATGGGTCCTGCATGTAAGTTCTTGGCTACTCCATTTCTTAGGGTTGTTTTGTAACTACCTATTTGTACTTCTTAATTGGGAACATAACTTTTCCTACTGTAATGTACTGTGTGAGAATAAAAGGAGATGGTTAACCCAGTGCCAGTAGAAAGGTTAGCCACTGTTACATGTTTTACTTGCTATGTTGACATTTCTCAGTCTCTTAGCTCCCAGTCTTGCCTCTCCAGCCTGTTTGTCAGGGGAAAGTCATAAAAACAGTCGATTGAAATCAACCCCAGGCTGAAAATCGTCCACCGATATCCCCATTGCCATCTAAGTGCCAAACTTCCGAACAGAGCTTTCTGTTGTCTTCCACCTGGATCTTTCCCACTTCTCTCTGTGGCCTGCACCCCCTTCCCCTGGACCTTTGCCCCTTGCAGCTCCCTCTGCCAGGAATGACTTCCTCATTCCCCAAGTGATCCTGCCCCCTCCTCCAGGCCCCAGGCCTCCCCACCTCTGCTGTTCTCCTACTGGGGGGGGTCCTTGATGACCTCTGGTTCTCAGTGCTGGTCTGTCTGTCCTTTTCCCACCCCCAACTGGCCCAGGAGCCCCTCCAGGGCAAGACAGGGTCATGGGACCAGGGCGAAGTAAGTGCTGGGGTTCCCAGTGAGCTGACCTGGGCCCAGGTTGGGCTCTGGGCTCTTGGGGTGGGGTCGAGAGTAGTTTCCCTTTGGAGGGGACAGGTTTGTCTTTGTCCTGCTGAGTGGCAAAATCAGGATGTTTCATTCATGTCCCATCAGCAGGGACAGGAATAGGAGCAATCATTCTAGACGTCCCTGATAGACATTCTATCGTGTCTGATAGCTCCAGCATGAGTGGCTCAACCATTGTTGACCCAGCCCATTGCTGTTGGCACCATCAGGTCTGTACAAGGTCCCTGGGCCTGGGAGGTGGCCACTGTTACTGTCCCATTTGACAGATGAGGTAGCTGAGGCTGCATGCTGCGTGGAGCAGTGAGGTCACCTGTCAGGGTCACAGAAGGAGTGAAGAGCAGAGTCAGGCCTGAAACGCAGGTCTGCTGCCAGGGCTGGGGAGGTGAGGATGAAATACCTGGGTGCTTGCAGTGGCAGTGTTAAGGGTGCATAGTTGGCTTTCAGTTCTCCCAGAAGGGGCTGTCAGGGCCACTTCATGTCCCAGGTGGTCAGGGTGCTGGGTGACCCTCTCTGGGAGGGGCGTGGCAGGAGTGTTGGAGGGCCTGCCACTGGTCCCCAGCACACAAGTCCTGGGGTTTTGGATCTCTTCCCAGCACTCAGGCCCCAGGGGGCAGGCAGGGGGCAGGTGAGCAGTTTCCAGTAGTTTCCATCTGGGCTTGGCCTGGGATGGGGCTCAGCTGGTCTCATTCGTCCCCACGTGCTGTTGCCAGGGCTGCACCCCCCACCCTGTTCATATTTCTGTCCCTATTGCCAACACCCCTTCCGCTCCCTGCCCCTCCCCTTGACTCCCCCACCCCCTTTACTTGGGCTTGCCTCCTCCACCCACTCCTTTCCCCCTCCTTCCCCTTGGAGCCAGGCTCTCTCTGGAACAGTGGAGAGGAATGGGGTGCCTTGTGGGCCTCTCTGGCTCTCCTGGGCGCCCTCTGCCCTGCCTCAGCTGACCCAGCCCCCCAGGCCTGAAAGCCCTCAGTTCTGCCCTGCTTGAGCTCAGCTGGGCTGCAGGTAGGAAGGAGAGGGCAGAGAAGTCTCTGCTTAGTGTACAGACTGGGATCCCCAGTACAACTGGGTAAATTTGTGATTCATCTAGAGCTGCCACCCCTATGATGGACAGTGGCCATCACACCATTGACCCTGGCCCCCTGGCTAGTTCTCTAGTAACCTCTCTTCTTAGTTTGTGTGGGCTAGTGCTCATCAGTGTCTGCCAGCAGGGGCTTGGCCCTGGGGCTGGGAGGTGTCTGGACTTGATGCCCAGCCCCAGCCTTCCCTAGCCAGGAACCCACAGAAGGCTCAAGACACTCCTGCTTTGCAGAATGGTAGGCTTGGAGAGGTTTGGCTTTGATGAGAACTCTACTGAGAATGAAGCTCCCAGCATGAAGCCAGCTCTTGTTCTCCCATGTGCCTTCAGGGGTCTGAAAGCTACCAAGAATGGGGCCTTGTGAAATGAACTACAAGCTTCCTCTCCTTAAAGTGTAAATGACTGACAGCAGAACTGCCAAGGGTCTCCTCCCTGGAGGAGGCAACTGGCTCTTTGGCTCCAGACAGACTTTTCCTTGACAGGGTCAGTGGCTTTTAGGCTGAGAGAGCAGCAGGTGGTGTGGGTGGGAGGGTGTTAACAGGAGACCTGCAGGATTGGATCTCCAGTCCCCAGATCTGTGTGTGGAGGAGGGGTCAGGAAAGCCCAGAGCCTGGAGCGTGGTGGAACTCTCAGAACCTTCCAGAGGACCTGCATGGTCTGTGGAAAATTCCCAGGCTATTTTGGGCCTCAGACCCCTTCTCCGCCCTTTCCCAGCATAAAGGCGCTGCTAACACACCCTTCCTTCCCTGGGGACAGGCAGGGTGGGAGTGGCTTCCTGTCTTCCTCACCTCTGGGCCCAGGGTTCCCTTCCTTGGTTCAGCACTCTTTAGAGCCTGCTGGTGCTGACTGGGAAGGGGTAAGCACGGCCAGCTGCTCACCAGGGACCACTGCTGTGAAAATACAGTTGCTTACTCACACTCTCTGCCCCTGTTTGCTTTTTGTCCATATATTTTCCATTATTGGACATGCTCTGTTTTTCACTAGTTTATTAGATGTGAGACTTGGGCAAGTCATTTGATACTTTGTGCCTCAGTTTCCCCATCAGTGAAATGGGAGTGAAATGAGCTGAGATGTGTGCAGTACTGGGAACACTGCCTGGCTCATTTGCTTCTTTTGTCCTGGTGGTTGTGGGTCTCCCCCTCCCTGAACATAAGCTACTCGAGGGCAGGAATTTTACTGTCCTGTGTTCTGTTCTTACAATGATGGGTGGCCCAGTAACTCCCAGTTGAGTAGGAGGCAACATTCTTCAAGGTCCTCTGGTGCCAGTGCAGAAACCTAGTGTGCTCAGGGGCAGGGTGTGGCCCACCTAGCTCACTGGTGTACACTCACTAGCAGTGACAAGCCTGGGCTACAAGCCAGTGCATGCACACTTGCATGGGTGTGTTCAGATGCACAGAGGGTTCCAGAGAGCCATGTGTGAGTACACATACTGGTGTATACACATACACCAGACACAAACACATGCGTGCACAGTGCAGCAACTATGACATGCCTTGGGCATGATATTTGGTCAGAGTTTGCTGAAGGCCAGAGGCCCATCTCGGGTGTGGCCTAGAGCCTCTTGCCAGCCTGAGCTTCCTGCATCTGCAGACTCCTCCCAGCTTGTTTTTTTCTCCATAGCTTTTCCACTATTGGGCATACTGCATGTTTCACCAGTTTATTTGTTAGATGTGTGACCCAGGCAAGTCATGGAGGCAGGGACTGCCTTTTCTAGGGATGCTCCAAGACCACCCACCCCTGGTGTTGCTGGGAGAACAGTTGCCCAGTGGGAAGCCTGGACTATGCCGGTGGGTGGGCTGGGGCTGCTGTACACACGCCCCGTCTGTGTGTGTATTGTGGGGTGGCAACAGGGACTCATAGTTGACTCCTGGGCTAACCACTCTCCCAGCTATTTTTCTTACAGACTTCAACCTTGACTGCGCACCCCCCCCCAACCCCTCGCAGACAGCACGTTCTCCCCCGCCCCCTCCAAGTTACTTGCGCTTTCTGTGCCTCAGTTTCTCCCAGGAGACCATAAATGCAGCCACATTCTGCGGACTGTGCAAGGTGCTAATAAGCACATATCAAGTGCTCAGTAGACGCCAGCCTGGGCTTTGGGGTCTGATGCTGGTAAGGAGTCTTTGGGTCGCTCCCTGGACTATGTCTGAAATCCTGCTCTGTGGCAGCCCCAGTGCGGGGCCCTAGGGACCCAGAGGGACCCTGTGCTGCCCTCAGGTGGCTTACTCCCCCAAGGTTGTGGGTTTCTTTGGCATCTCTGAGGGATTAAGTGGATTGGGGGAGTTGAGGGGGCTGGTTAGAGGGCCTGCTTTATTAACCCATGGAGAGATGGGCATGGCAGGGGAATGGAGGCAGACAGACAAGTGTGGGAGGGAAGGAAGACACACGTGGCAGTGATGCTGTTGCCCAGTGCTTCTCCAGTTGGCCTGCCCTCCTTTCCCCTCACCTGCCTCTTACGCCTCCGTCCCCAGCACCACCATATAAACTCTGTTGGCCGCAGTCCTACCTGGCCCTTGTCAGCCTCGGGCTTTTACACAGGCATTTCCCGCTACCTGGAAGAGCCTCCTTCTGTTTTTCAGATGGTTGACTCTTTTTTCTTTTTTTAATATTTATTTTTGGAAATCTGTAATGATTTTGTTCATATATTGATTTACCTGTTTATGTTTTGGCTCCAAATTTAGCCCTGTGTTTCTGGTGCCATGAACAGGACCTGGCCCTGGGCATGCACTCGTGGATTTGATGGTGACAGTTTTACAATTATAGCTGACACTTACTGCTGACACTTGTTCTGGGTGGGCGGTGTGCCGTGTGCTCAGTGTCTTATTTCATTTCAATTTCAAGATTGTGGTGTGACTCAGGACTGTTATAATGTCCACTTACCAGACATGGAAGCTGGGGTCCAGAGAGGTTAAGTAGCCCAAGATCACACAACTGGCAAGTGGTGGGGTTCGAAGTCACATGTGCCTGACTCCAGAGGCAAAGCGAGAGATTATGGGTAGAAGTGGGTAGGGCAGTTTTCCACCTCACCCTGGCATCACTGAGCCACTGTGGTCCCACCTGCTACCCTGGCAGGCCTGGTGTAGGGGGAGGGCTGGGGCAGGCCCCCCCCTTCCCCCTTCCTTCTCTGGGCTGGCCCCTTTCCCAGAACCCCATTCATCAGAACATTCCAGGACTCTATGACCTGTGCTGGTGGGTCATGCTGGAGCCCTATACCCCGGCTGAGTAGCTGGGGCCTTTTTGAGGTGGGGGCTCCCCGGACTCGAGGTCCTCCTCGGCTGCAGCTGAGAGAAGGGTCAGGAGGTAGCTATATCACTCTCCCAGCCAGACAGAACTGAGACCTGACTGGGGGTTGCTGAGGGGTGGGGGTGGGGAATGTCAGGGAGGAGATTTGTGTTTTTGGCAGGGAGGGATCAGGCCTGGTTCTTGGGTGGTTTGTCTTGGGGACGGAGGGGACATTGCTGGGTGATTTAGGTTGAAAACTCGGCGCCCCAGTGCCACACAGTTACTACAGAGAGGGAGGTAGGGTGGCAAACCATGGGTTCAGGATCGTCAAGAGTTGCCAGTTTTTTTCATGAATAGCTGGGAGCCTGATTTTGAGGCACACTCCTGGGAATGTTTAAAAGATAGCTCACATTTTAAATTTGAAAACCCCGTGTGAGACACCTAAAGCCCATTGGGCCGCTTCTGTCCCTGTCGCCATGTGAACTTGGATGAGATCTGAGCTCCGGCTCCTCCACTTCACCTCAGGCCCTTGTCAGAAACCCTGAGCAGGTGCTAAGTGATGCCACCCAGCTGCCCCTCTGCTAATGGGAGAATTGATCCAGAGGAGAAAGGACTTACCCAAGGCCTTCTGGGTCCTAGGCTTTGCTCTTTTCTCCTGACCTTGAGCCAAAGACGTGTTTGAAAGGGCGCCTTTGTAGTCACAATATGGTGTTCTTGGGTACAGCGTCTGTGTCCTGATCTTGGCAAAACTTCAAGAGCAAGGCCACTGCTATGGAGTCCTCTCCCCTCAGCTTTCCAGCTGGCTCTCTGACTCCCACTCCCCTTGAGGATCACTGAGGTAATTTGATAACATAGCGGCCCAGTGATCTAGGCTGGGTGGAAATTCACTCCTGTGGGTCTTTTGTAAGGGGCCTGGTGGAGAGGCTGCCTTTGAAATGCCCCTTGAATACAAACTTGGTGTCTGAGCCTGACTTTCGTTTGTGTTCCAGAGTTTCTTCTTATGCCTCCCCTTTCCCTTATTGCTGGCGCTTAGGGGTCAGGAAATATTTCTTGAGTGGCTGGAGTCCTGATCTGGGCACTTGGCATTAAAGCGAATGCCTGCCTGCTCCTTGACTCCCTCTCTCCCTTCCTTTCACAAGTATTTACTAAGTGCCCCAAGTTTTTGCTGGGTGCTAGGGAGATACAGGGGACCATTGGCATCCTAGCCATAGGTACGAGCTGGCATTTCTGAGCACAGGTGTGGTAGAACAAGGTCCACGGCTGCTGCAGAGCCCAGGGGAGGCACCTGGCCCAGCTGGGAAAACCATTGTATCTGTGGAGATGTGACTGTGACCTCTACACTTGGCGAGCTTGCGCCTGCATTCCTCCCACAGTGAGAGGAATGGGTCTCAGGTGGCAGGCTTTCAGATGTGGGGGTAGGGTTGCCTCTGGGGGCCCTGCTTGCAAGGTGTGAGCCCCCTGAGCACCCCCGGTCTCTCTCCAGGTCAGCCATGTCATCTGAACCTCCTCCGCCACCACAGCCCCCCACCCACCAGGCTTCAGTAGGGCTGCTGGACACCCATCGGGTCCGCAATCGCTCACCATCCCCTCTCCGGGGCAATGTGGTCCCCAGCCCCCACTGCCCACTCGCCGGACAAGGACCTACTCAGCGTGAGTCTCGGACTGGCTGGGGGAGGCTTCCAGACAATGGCCATCTCAATGCCTCAGTGTCCCTGTTTGTGGAATGGCAAACTTGGGGTTGGGGGAAGGGTGAGGAACTTGTGAACTCTGGAGGGCACTGCCCAGGCCCACCAGAGCCTGTCATGATCTAGAGGCATGGGACAGAGGTCGCCACAGCTGGGGAATCACCGGGTCCTAAATCACTGACCTTTAACTGCACACAAGCCTTTAATCCTGGGAGACCTCAGCTTCCTCAGCTGCAAACTGGAGACAGTAGCGGGGCTGCCCAGTGCTGCAGAGGACCCACATGGTGCCTGGCAGATGCAGTCCTCGGGCCCAATGAGTGCAGGTGCTGCTCTTATTAATAACTTGTTGTCAGGGAGCTGCTCAGAGAGCTCTTAGTCTAACACCCTCTTTTCAAATGGGGAAACTGAGCCCTGAGAAAATCTGCCAAGGCCATCCAGTGAGTCACTCTGCTGGGTTCTGTGTGACTGGCTCCCGGAGCCGTGCAGTGCACCCCCTGGACGGCTGTGTGTGGTGGCCCTGCCCAGGACCCCAGGGCCCAGCTGTGGGCAGAGGCGTGGATGAGCTGGGCATGCCCCTCAAGAGTGGGTGGTTGTCTGGAGGGCTGGTGGGAGCCTCTCACACTTTGCCCCTCTCTTGTCAGGACGGTAAGGGCCTCACAGGGTCCAGTCTACAAAGGAGTCTGTAAATGCTTCTGCCGATCCAAGGGCCACGGCTTCATCACCCCAGCAGACGGCGGCCCCGATATCTTCTTGCACATCTCCGAGTGAGTCCGTGGCTGGTCTGTGGGGTATGGGACTGGGGTATGCGCTGTCTTGGCTCCTCGGTGGCGGAGAGAGTATGTGACTCTGATGTGTGCCGGGTATGAGGGTGTGAGGCCAGGTGTGTGTGACCTGGTGAAACTGTGTTCAGAGCCGGGGTTTTGAGACTGCTCTTGGTGGTGGTGTAGAGGTAGCGGTTAGGGGAAGCACTGGGGTGGGGCTGAGCACCCATGAGGATGGGGAGGGAGCACCCCTGTGAGCTGGGGAATCTGTGTTTGCCCTCTGGGCACTTTCCTGCCCCACCTCAGGGAAGTGGCCTGGGGAGGTTGAGGGCTGCCTGGCTGCACTGATCCAGGAAGTTTGGAGCTGGACCCTTTCTCTAGTCACTTGCTCACTGACATCCTTCCTTCCTATTTGGAACCCTTGGAAGGCCCAGGGCGGGGCCCACTCATTGTAGGCCCTGGCGTCCTGTGGCCTGGGTTTTGCTTCGAGCCTTCTAGGTGGCTTTCAGGTAGGTGGGGACCTGATCTGGCACCCCTGGCCGTACCCCCTCCTGTGGCCTCAGCATCCCCTGATTTCTCATTCCCGTTTGTGAGGCAGTCCTGCTTGGCATGGCAGACCTGGCAGTACGGAGTGCGGCAGAAGTAGGTTGACAGCTGGGAGTGTGGGAAACACAGAGTTTATTCTTGTATTATTATTTGTTAAGTATTGTATTGTTTTCCATGTGTACAACTGTAAACCTACTTTTGCCCCACCCTGTATATAGAAACCATATTTTTGAAAATTGGGTCCTATTGCAAATGTCTGCCATGAGGAGGGAATTATTTTTCTTAGCATCCCCGCCCCCAACCCCACATTTTTGCACATCAGGTCTTATGGGTAGACTTTAGATGCTAAAGCAGCACATTTCATGTGCGCCTGCCTGAGTGCAGGTGTGGACGTGTGTTGCCTCTGTCCTACTGCAAAAGGATTTGTACTAGTTTACAAAGATACACCCAGGGCATCAAGAAAATAAGTCAGTAAGGAAACATGGGGGTGGGGGGCAAGTTAGAAAGATGGAGATGCTGTGATGCCCAGCTCCGCTGCTGGGAGGGGCTGAGCATCTCGGTGGCCAAGTCAAAGAGGGAAGCTCCATTTGCTACTTGATTCTTCAAACCAGTTCTGGGGGGCTGCTGGCCCTGGTGTTCGGCATCTGAAGGGGATTTGTGGGGTCTCATCAAGGGGGTGTTAAGAAGAGTACCTTACCATCCTGTCTGGGATGGTGACTCATGTCCCGTAGAAACTGAGGGAATATTCTGGCAGTGGTCCCAAGAGAAAGGACTTCCTGGAACTATCTTTGAACACAAAAGCGTCTTTGTTGGAGGCGCACCAGATTCCTGGGGAACAAAGAGCAGAGGTACAGGCTGTTTTGTGGGACTCCTGGACCAGGGTGGGGTGCTGCAGCTGCTCAGGAAGCCTGCACCCAGGTGATCTTTCCCCTCCCATGTGACTGCCTCATTTCTGTCTCTGGCTCAGACTGGCTCCCCTGCTCTTCTGTCCACAAGCCCTTGGCACCCACACTTAACAGGGAGTGTGAGCAGCCCTGGGCAGCTGAGCTCTCTCTGACTGTCTCAGCATCCAAGGTCCCAGGGGAGCAGCCCATGGAGTCGGGCGCTCCTCAGCCAGGGTCTGAGGCAGAGGCCGAGTGGTGCTGCACAGGCGTGGCTGCGCCCTGTGATTTTCCATGTGCACAACCGGAACTGGCAGGGGGGCAGTTCCACGGAAGGGGTGGCCCTCTGACCAGGGCTTTTCTGAGTGCTGGGCACTGAGTGCTTTTCTCCCCCCCACAGTGTGGAAGGGGAGTACGTCCCGGTGGAAGGTGATGAGGTCACCTATAAGATGTGCTCCATCCCACCCAAGCACGAGAAGCTGCAGGCTGTGGAGGTGGTCATCACACACCTGGCACCCGGCACCAAGCACGAGACCTGGTCTGGCCACGTCATCAGCTCCTAGGAGAGGCCAGAAGCACTCCTTCTTCTGGGCTTCAGGGAGACTCTGGGGGGAGGAGGAGGCAGGACCCGACCAGACATGACATTGCACTGTCTGAGATATGCCTCAAAGAGGGGGAGCGTGGTTCCTTTCAAGTGTCTCCTAGAGGAAGGGTGTTGGGCAGGCACAGGGGTGTCTTGGCCACCAGCACAGTCTCTGACCACCACAACAACTTCACCATCTGAAAGTATTAAAAGCATTGAACAAGGAGAGGTGCCTGCTGCTGGCTGAGTAGAGGGTCCAACCCTCCCCCAGGGGGTGGGTCATGTGGTATTTCTCCAGCCCACAGAGTCCCTCATCCCAGTCCCTCTGGGGTTGGAGGCTCAACATTGCACTAGGTGGTGACTTGCATGCTGTGTGTCTCCCCAGCATGACTTGCCACCCAGTGCCCTCTTCTTGTGTCTCCTTGGCCTGGGGCACAACAGGCATTTTTGTAGATTCTAGGCTTGGCTGGTTCTAGGGCAGCTGGCTTCAAGGGGTGGGAGGAGAGGGTTGGAGTAAGGTCTTGGGTGCCTTTGTAGCAGGAGGTGTCCCAGCTGGGTGTCCAGAAAAGTTTGTCCAAGAACCCTTAGCCCCGCCACCTGGGCATGCAATGCTGAGATCTGAGTTCTAACGCTTAGGAACCTGGCTTTTCCTTTTGTCTCCAAGTTGAGTGATCACAGCTCAGCAGCCATTTCACATCCCCTGTCATGTGGGTGGTGGGTGGTGGGTGGGAGCAGGCAGGAGAAGGGAGTGGAGGGGGAGGGTGTTTATTGAAAAACAGACCTTTCTCCCATCCAGAAAAGAGTAGGTAGCTTGCTTTCTGACAGCCTGGGAAAGTCAAACGTTGAAGGAGAAATACACCTTCGGTGAAGGGGTTTGCTTGAAAGCGGCTCTAAAGAAATGCTTAGGAGTTTTTGTCTGCAAATAACCGTGGCTGTCACCCAGAGCCAGCTCTGTTTACGTTTTGACATTGCGAACCTTTGTACATAGTTCCAGTCAACAAATCTTTAGGATTTTATTTGATGTGGTTTGGTTTGGCTTTGTGATTTCAACATAGAAACAACTGGGTAATATGTTCTGAAATATGTGGCTTATATGTAGTCAAGAATCCATTTGTCATCACGGGGAAGTGACTCCTTTAAAGCTGGCCTTTGAGCAGACCAGGATGTTCCAGACAAAAGACAGGACTGTGGATGCAGGAAGCAGTACCTGGTTTCATCAGGCGTCTTCCGTTCTGAGGACAGCTTCATCTTTCAGCCTGGAGAGGGCGTCCTTGGAAGGGGGCGGGAGGCTGGAACTGCTTTGCTGATGGCTGGTGCAGTTGTTGTAAAACAAAGTAAGTGTGTTGATGTGTGTGCAGTGTAACATCTACTTTTACCTGGCCCATTTTGTCCCTTGAAGGGTCCTCTGCCTCCGGCCTCTGCCTTCTGCTGGGTCCAACATGGCCTTTGCCTGCTGGCCTTGAATGTTCTCCAGGTGGTCCCCAAAGGCTTGTCTGTTGGGTACAGACCACACTTCCAGAGCCACTTCTGCCAAGAGCCGTGTCTTCTGTGTGACTCCAGCAGACTTCACCTGCCAGTGGGTTGGGAATTGGACCTGCTGTAGAGGTGACCTCTGTGTGGACAGGAATCCTCTGTGAAGGGCACTTGCAGTCCTTTTGTGTGACCACATCTCTTTCACTGGATGGGTATTCTAGAACTGCAGGGTGTTAGAGCTGGAAGGGCAGCCCTCCCCACACAGATTCTCAATGTACAGAAACTCCTGGAGGCTCTGGGAGGACTTCTGTATGGTGTTGGTGACCCTGCTGGGAGTAGCATCCAGGATTCCTGAATCCAGATCTTTCCTCCCACTGGCCACCTTCCTCTCAATAAAGTCTGTTTTGCCCAAGGCTGTGTGTGGTTTGCTAAGTGGGAGGGGGAGAAGGGAAGGGAGGCTGGCTCTGAGGAAGTTCTGGAAGCCAGCAGGTAAGGGCAGCTCCCCAAACCAGGCGGACTCAGTCATCCCACTTCCTAGACTGGTTGTTTTGGGGCATGGGTCAGAAAAATGGGATCATCCCTTTTTTCTTAATCACCACTCTCAGGTAGGAGAGCTCAGAAGTCCAGTGTGGCTTTGTGACAACAGAAAATGCCAGTGACTCTGTCCGTTGTGGAGAGATTCCCTGTTGATGCATTTCTGCTTTGTTTGTGTGAGAATGAGCCCTGAGGACAAGGCAATCCAGACAGAAGGAAGTTCAGGAGTCGGGGGCTTGGAAGCCCGAGTTCTCGGTGTCCAGAAGGGCAGAGGGGGAAGAGGAGGCTGTGCTGGGAGGACAGGTGGGCTGCTCTGGGAGGGTCTCTGTGTGTGTCAGGCTGGGAAGTGGTCCTGGGCCCATGTTTCCCAGAGGAGATAGAGAATACTGAGTTTTGTAGGTGCAGAGGCGAACATTTTTATTGTAAGAGTACATTGATTTTCAAGTTATATTAGGAAAAAGCAGAACCAGCCCACTGAACCTTTTTAGGGAGAGGCCAGAGTAGACCTTTAGCTCAAAACGGGAGGGGGCGGGGTTTGAGGACATCTCACACTGAGCGGATGTTATGCAGGTGGCATCAGCGAGGCCTTGGCAACAAAATGCAGGTGATGCTGGAAACCAGCTGTAAGGGACAGGGCTGGGAAGAGTTCCAGAACGTGACAGAAGGGTGCCCCAGAGGGCATAGAGGTGCAAGGGGCTCAGGGGCCTGGCTGCTGTGCCCAGGTGCCTGCCAGGGCTGAGATCAAGGAGCACTTGGGCAAAAAGGAAGAGGAAGCAGTTCTTGGAAAGGAAGTGATGCAAGGCCACCTTCACCCAGCCCTTCCTGAATCCACATCTGCTCCAGTCGGCCAGGCCTCCCATCACTCTCCACTCAGTTGTCACACCGATCTTGAACCTCCTCCAGTTCCTCCCTCAGGATCAAGTTCAGGAGCCACAGGAAGTTCAGAGGGGCCCTCCTGGTGGCCTCTAGCTGCAGCAGCCATCTGCTGTGCCCTCCACACAGGCCTTTCTCCTGAGACTGCTTAAATCCAGCACTAAACACCAGGTCAGCTTCTCTAGTGTGGGGATGGGACTTGCTTTCTCACAGGCCCCAGGCTGCTCAGGGCGCAACCTCTGTGCTTCCTGCTGCTCAGCACTTGGCCACCAGGGTTACAATTCTGGTGATGCTGTCTTCACCCTGTCCACTCCCGGAGGCTGAGGGAATGACTCAGTGCATCCTTCTCTGCAAAGCAGGGCTGAGTCCTGTGCACAGGGCTCCTGGGGGCTCACACACACCACTGGAAGGGCTTGACTGAAATGAAGCTACCTGTGGTAGGGGCGGTATCCCATTTGACAGAAGAGCAGACTGGTTGACATGAAGAAGTAACCAGAATGAGAAATAGGAACAATAAAATCACTTTAATTTGCTACTTTTCATCTGAAAGGTCATTCTAGTATCGTTTGCAAAATACTTCAACAAGAAAAGATGCCACGGGATGGCCTGTGCTGAGAACTGCTTGGGAACATCAACCGTGTGGTGCGGTGGTGGGTGGACTGATCCAGAACTGACAAGCTCTGGGCCAGGTTTGGGGGGAAACCAGGTTCCTCTGCGATGAAAGCACCTGGTGGTAGCATGGAGGTGGGGGGTGCAAAGCACACAGATTTGGGTTGGTGGGCCCCAGCAGCAGTTGGTGGAGCACTTGTGGGTCCTGACATTTCCGATGCTAAACAGTGACATGTTAACCATTGCCTTGGAAAGCAGTCTTCCACCCTATTGTGGACCAGGGCCTGGGGATGCCTTCCACTTTCAGGAGGACCTTGCAGAACCTGGAAGGTGGGGCCCTTCCTAGGCCCCACCATGGCCAGGTCACGGTCGGGGTCAACATACTTCTTTTTAAAAAGATCTGCAGAGAAAGTGCAGCTTCAGCTCTGTTAATGAGTGAGGCGTTCACTGGGGCCCCAAGAAACCTGATGTAAGTAAGGCCCAGGAAGCCCAGCCAGGTCAGTAAGAAGGTTCTTTTGGTGAGGTGTGACACCCCAAGTTAGTCTCTCCAAACCTGGGCTTAGAGAGGCACCCAGGGGAAGGGATGGGAAGGGCTGCATGTCTGTTCAGTTCTCCCTGAGGCCTGTTGGTACCTATGTCCTCCCATCTCCGTGGTTGGAGAACCAGCCCCTCCCTGTGTAGTGACTACTGAGCTAACCCGTGAGCCAGGCCAGCTGAGCTGTGAACTCCTTCAGCTCAGTTGTCACTTGGCCAGCCAGCTATCCACAGGCCAGGCTGAGGTCTGTGGCTCTCAAATAGGAAGTGAGGTGGGCAAACAGTACACATGGTCACTTAGCTTAACACTGCCTGATGCCTACGATGCCCTTGGTTCAAAACTGCCACCAAGCTGACACTCAGCAGGTGCTTCGTTTCAGGAAGTGTTTGAAAATTTCTGTTGTGGGTTGGATGGTTGTAGTGGGCAAGTGAGGGAGGGATCGGGGTTTGGCCACCAAATGACCCTGTCAGACTTGTCAGCTGGGCCTCCCTCCCCTCCCACAGGAAGAGACATTAGGGGAAGAGCTCTTCACAGATCCTGCGTGTGTCCTCAGGTGCCGTCACTGTGTAGCCCACCGTCCTCGGGTCTGTGAAGATCTCATGGTCATTTCCACCCTGCAGAGACACGAAGCAGATGCTGCTGCTGCTGCTGCTGCAGCCCTGGAGCCCGGGGCTGCCAGAGAAATGAAGACCTTGGTATTTTATTGGCAAGGAGGGTTTCTTGGTTACCTCGTTCCTCTGGAAACTAAGAGACAGTCATCACTGAGAAAGGGTTTATCACCTTCTCCTGAACTGCAATTCAGCTGGGAACATATAATTATGCTGATGAAAGGACTCACGATCTAAGGCTTATTTTTCTAAAAAAGAAGGCAAGCTTAGCAGGGGACAGAATTCTCAGAGCCATCAATTTGTTTTCACTGTGCCTAGACTTCCAACGAGTCACAGGGAGTGGGCAGGACAGACGTCCAGAGCAGCTCTGCGCTCTGGAATTTTCTGAGCTAACAGGGCCCACTAGTCCCATGTGACCACGGAGCCCTGGCCATGTGGCTTGTGTCTGAGCCAGGTCACCTGGGTTTAGACCTGGTTCTACCACTGACTAGAGGGCAACTCCCTCTAGTTGCCCTCTAGGGCAACTCCCTGGCAACTCCCTGCCTGTAAAATGGGGAGTGGTGGAACTTCACCATGGTACTGTGGGTTAGTCGATGAGATGATGGGGTCTGGTGAGGCCCCTGGGAAGCAACCTGTGTCAGCTGCAGCAGCTAATCCAGCTTTCTGCTGTTTCCACACACTCTTTTATCTGCTGTACCTCCAGGAGTTGGACGAGGGCATGGATCTGGGAGGACCTGGGCATGCTGCTGGCTGCAGGCGGTGGGGGGCGGCTTCCCATGACTGGGGTCCCCAGCCCCACTATCCCAGGTGAATGAATTGAGATTCCTGCTCAGAGCCTGTGCGGGGAGCGGGAGGGAAGCCCCTGCTTTTCTTCTCATAGAATTTCCTCTATTTTCCTCTTACTGGATAAGCAGTCTCACTTATAATCTTAAAAAAAATTTTACTAGTTTATCATACAATGGAAATAACCACTGAAAACATGGGCTATTCTCAAAAGATTCTGTAGAAAATCTGACATCCTTCTAAAGGGTTGGCTGACCCCTGAAATTCCTGCTGCTCTCAGAGCCCATCCCCAAGCAGTTGGCTTTCCCAGGTGGAAGCGAAATTCAAGATTTCTGGATGGATTGCTGTGGGGCCCTAGGTTTGCTGGGTGGAGGAGTCACGTTAGGAAGCTGTGACCTTGGAGCCTCGAATGCCCCTTCCCAGTTTCGCCTTGGGGTCCTGCTGTGCCCTGGTGACTGAAAAGACCTGAGCTACATGGCAGCATTTGCTACTCAAGGAAATAAGTGTGGAACCACTTATGATTAAAAAAAAAGGAAACCACCAGATTTCCCTGGAAATGGCATGGTAGGTAAACACCAGCACAGAGAACTATGTTCAAAAGAAAAACAGACTCCTGCACTGTCCAGAAGAAACACACACCTGTCGGGGACATGATCACTCCCTGTCACCCCCTGACTTAGGAGGAAGGAGTCAGTAATCACCTATCCCGACAAAGCTGGGGGAGCAACTGCTCCCTGCCTGGCATTGTTTCAGCAACTGGAGGCACACTGGGGCAAACAAAACCACAAAGTGACAAGGGCTGCCTTCCAGCTCCCTGGGACACGGGGAAGAGCTGCAAAGAACAGAGTGGAAGGGAGGCCCTGGCTGGGTAGCTCAGTTGGTTGGAGCGTTGTCCCAATATGCCAAGGTAGCTGGTTCAATCTCTTGTCAGGGCACATACAAGAATCAACCTATGAATGCATGAATGAGTGGAACAACAAATCAATGTTTCACTCTCTCTGAAAGCAATTTTTAAAAATTCAGGGAAGAACAGAAAGAAAAAGAATAGAGGGGGAGGGAACCTGGAGTGACAAGAGAGGGGCCTTTGAGCAGAGACCTGAAGGAAGTTGAGGGGACAACCCATGTGACTGGCTCTCCACAGGAAAGGCAGGTCAGCTCTCACAACCTGCTGGTCTGGGCTGGAAGGGTGAGGACCCAGAGAGTATGGAAGATCTTTTTTTTTTTTTTTTTTTTTTAATGCTGTTCTGGCACACTTGGGACTTTTTTGTTTTTTGTTTTTTTTTTAAGATTTTGTTTTATTTATTTATCTTTAGAGGGGAAGGGAAGGAGAGAGGGAGAGAAGATCAGTGGTTCTTGGGAGGGCAGGGAGTATGGAAGATCTTAGTAGGGATCTGGGACTTTGTGATGCCACCTGAAAGCTGCAATGCAGGACACAATGAGATTCACCTACAGCAGGATCTTTGGGGAGAATAGATGGGCATGAGGACCCAAAGGCAGAAGCAGAGTTGAGTTAGGAGGCTACTACAGCCAGCCAGCCTTCTATCCTGCAATGTGAGGATAGAAGCCAGTAGCTGGTAGAGTGACCTGTGAAACAAGGAAGGTTCACAGCTGCTACGCCTGCCCCTCCCTGGAGAGGACATCACACTAGAGGACAGATGTGTACCTGACAGATGCCTAATTTGGCATGAGTCTCCCATGGTCCTGCTGGGAGCTACAGTGTAACTCACCCACACTCAAGGAAGCTGGTCCAGAGAACCCAAACTTCTCTCTTCTGGGCTGGGCAGCCTTTTCAGCTCCACTTGCTTTCAGAGGGCAGCGAAGTGTCTGTACCACAAAGCCCGTCAACCTCTACCACCCTTTCCCTTCTGCCAGGGGACCTGGCCTCCTCCTCTGCTCCTTTGTGCAGGTGGCTGCACACAGTGTGCACACCAGAGTCAGAGGGAGGTCAGGAGAAGCAGAGCCAGAACACTGAGCTAGTGAGAGTGCACCCTCTAGAATAATGAGACCTTGGACAACCAGAAACTTCAAAGACTGTGTCTGCATGTGAACTGAAGGTTACTTGACTCCAACTGGGGCAACTCACCTTCCCAGACTCAGAACAAAACCTGGTTCCTGAGAGCAGATAAGGGGACGCAGGGCAAAGGGATGGATAACTGATTATAGTCTTGTTAAGAGTATATGTGATGGGTCCAAAGGCGAGGCCACAGCTCAGTCAAACTGCCCACGAATATTTAAATCTCCACGAGGCCCAGGCCTGGGGATGAAGCAGAAGGCAGTGTCTGCAGTGTTCACATTCCAGGGGAGGGGCTGAGGAAAGTGCCCAGTGTCCACCCCACCCCAGTTCTGCACCCACTGTTGTAGAAGTGAACCCCGATTATCCTGATGTGGGAGACGAACAGGAAAGAACGTGTGGTTCACAAAGTGTTAGAATGTTTTCACTGCCACTGCCCTAAAGTCCAGATGTTTTTACACAAAGCATTGGACCAGCAGAAGTTTTCCTGCCTAGAATTCAGCAAGGCTGGGGGCAACTGTGCCGGTGAAGCCCGGGAGGCCAGGCAGAGCAGTTTGGGGCATGTCTTTCTAGGCCCTTGCCACCTCCTTCCCCGCAGCAAACCAAGTCCCCTGCCTCTAAGCTGAATTCACAGCTGGTTTTTAACAGACCCTGGTTCTTGTGCTTGAGGGGAGGGATGAGGGGTTTCGAGGGCTGACTAGTACTTAGAAAAGCAAGGGCCAAGCTCTTTGTTCTCTGGAGGTGCTCAGAGTCCGCGGCACCCTTTGTGTAAGATCAGGTCCCTTCAGAGGGCGGCTGTGTGTCTAGGACAGAGGATGTGGTCAGGCAGGCCTCAGAGCCTGGAGGGCTTGGTGGGGAAATGGCTTCTGACTGACAGCTCTTAGCTCAGGTGCCATTTCCCTGGAAGCCAGCAAGAACATTTGCCTTGACACGCAGAGAGAAAAAAGCTTTCAAAATGTCTCCGAATATGAAGAAAAGTTTGAAGTATTTGAACAGCTCTGTGCCTAAAGTTTCCAGCATCGATATGTTGTTAAAAGGTTTAGATGACTAGACCGTTGGCTCCCACTTCCAGGAAACCACTGACAAAAAGGATCACAGTTGAGGGCAAAGAGTGATTTGAGAATGTTGATCAGTGTTAGTTACAACAGCAAAAACCACAGCCTGCAAGTGCCTCTAACTAGGGAAATGGGGAAATGAACTATGCCTAAATGATGAACTGTTATACCACCATTAAATCTTATTTTCAAAGAAGACTCACTAACGTGGGGGGGGGGAATAAAATATGTGAAGAGAAGAAAGGCGGAAGATAAGACAATGAACATGCAGGGGTCCCACATCTGGGCCAAGTGTGCAGAGAAAAGCCCGGGAGGCAAATCAGCTGTGACTACAAGTGACTGATACTTTCTTCTTCATACTTCTTCTAATTTTATTTTTTAAACGTTTTATTTATTTATTTATTTATTTATTTATTTATTTATTTATTTATTTATTTCAGAAAGAGGAGAAGCGAGAGGGAGAAAAACATTGATATGTGATAGAAACTGATTGGTTGCCTCTTGCTCACCCCAGCTGGGTACTCAGCCTGCAACCCAGGCATTTGCCATGACTGGGAATGGAACTGGCGACCTTTGGGTTTGCAGGCCAGTGCAATCCACTTAGCCACACCAGCCAGGGCTACCTCTTCTAAAAGTTTTACACTAAATGCATATTACTTAAAATTGGGATGGGGGAACATCCTCCAAACAGTATCCATTTTTTAAAAGGAGGTAAGATTTAGAACAACAGAACTGATGTGTGGTGATGCAGTGGTTAATGCAGTAGAAAATAAATTCCAAAAAAGGTCATTACCTGATTCTCTCAAGAGCCACACTCTGCCCTGGCCTGTATGCCTCAGTTAGTTGGGTGCTGTCCGCAAAGCACAAGGTTACCTGTTCCACTCCTGGTCAGGGCACATGCCAGGGATGTGGGTTCAGTACTTAGGCATGTACAGGAGGCAACCAATCGATGTTGTTCTCTCAGATCAATGTTTCTCTCCCTCTTTGTCCTTCACTCCCCCTCTCTCTAAAAATAAATGAATAAAGTCTAAAATAAACCTCCAAAACAAAAAAAACTATGCTCAATTGTGTGAAGTCCCACCTGAAGCTTCAGATGGCTATTTACACACAGAAAGAACATAATCTTTTTTTAAAGATTTTATTTATTTATTTTCAGAGAGAGGGGAAGGGAGGAAGAGAGGCAGAGAAACATCAATGTGTAGCCGCCTCCCTCATGCCCCCAACAGAGGACCTGGCCCCCAACGCTGGCATGTGCCCTGACTGGGAATCAAACCAGGGACTCTTTGGTTCACAGGCTGGCACTCAATTCACTGAGCTACACCAGCCACGGCAACAACATCATCTTTACAGGAAACTGTTTTGGTCTCTGAGAGCTCTCTTCTCAGCCTGTATGCAGCAGCACCAGTTTGGAAGGACAGAAGAAGCTTTTGGCCATTCCTTCCATCTTGGGTGTAATGAATTTCATTAGCTTACTTTTCCTAAAAACATCAAGTTGTTCAAAGCCTGCACTCTGGAGCACTGCAATGAGAGGATGTGAGTATAAACCACCTCTCCCTGTCATGAAGAAAAAGGCCACTGGTACCCCTGAAAAGTACCATGTTCGTTTGAGAACTAGAATCTTTCCCACCTGTGGAGACAGGGTGTGCTGACTGCAAAGCGTGCTCATTTGAAGAGCAGGTACCAGTCGTTTGTTCTGTGCCACCAGCTCTTTCATTCATTACCCAGGATAGACCATAGCAGCAAGCATTCTGGAGTGGACCAGAAGTGAAGGGATAAACACTCCCCACAGGCAGCATTTTGATGCTTCTGCTGGGTACAGTATAGCCCGGGATGCCTAGTGGCAAGAAAAGCATAAGGGCACAGGGGGCAGGAGGAATTTAAAGGGAGCCACTGAGCCCAAGGCTAGGCAGTGAATACCTGGTGCTGAGCCTCCCCTGGGGCCTCCCAAGGGCCACTTCCTTGGGGACCCACCTGTCCTAAGGACAGCCTCCCTCTGCTGCCATGCTGGCTCTGGGGAAAGTCCTCCTAGGGATTCCTCCTACTGGCACTGGCCTTGGACGCCAGGCTCTGCTCTCAGTTCCAGTCTAGACTCAGTCCTGGACTAGGGATTGCAGACGTCCCTGGGACAGCTCCTGTACCCTTTGTGTGATGCCCAGGAGTGACCCCTCCCCTCCTATGTGTCCCCAGAGCCTGCTCCTCAATTCTAGACTCCTTGTCCTCCTGTCATTTAGGACTCTTACTGCCCAAGCTAAGTGAATGCCCCTGGGGAATAAAACACTGTGAAAAAGAAAATAAGGGCAAGGGCTCTGAAATGCAAAGAACATTTGACAGGAGCCCTGGGTCAGGTGTTCTGGAAGGCCCTTGGAGAAGGGCGATATTTAATTCAAAAGCCAAACCCCAAAGGCTGAATTCTGGCCTCCACTGAGGTGTCAGGTGTCTGAGCACTGTGGGGAGGGGACTTCAACCACCTCCTAGGACAGAGGCCTCACCAGTTTGAGCTGGAATGGAGGGGAAGGTGTGGGTAAGAGGAAAAAAGCCCGTTTCTCCATTTTCTTCCTGCAAGCGAAACCGCACAGTGAAACTGCAAAAACACTTCCATACTCACTGGCATGGTTTTGTCTCCAAAGAAATAAATGGTCTTATAGCTGTCATTTTCCACATGTCCCAGGCAATACCTCTTGTCCCATCCATCAGGAAAGACATCAAAGCTGATCTGGCCTCCTGCCAAGCGGGGAGGAGAAACACAAAAGCTAAAGGTGGAAAGGAGGCTAATGACCTGTCACTGGAAAAATGTGCCATTTACTCGTGTCAGCAACTGGATTACACGGTTGATTTACACTGCTTTGGGGATAGGTTCTAGTTCATTCCACCTTATGTGTTTTTCCAACATTATTTCATCTAAAATCTAAAAACGAGGCCTGGAGGATCAGCTCAGAAGGAGGGGTACATTTGCATTTAGATGCTCTGTCAAGCCCTGGGTGTAAAGGAAGCTTGGGGGGGGGGGGATCTGATAGGATTCAGCTGTGCTCATCTCCAGCTCAACACACTGCATGCAGCTCATCTTGTGGGAAAAATGAAAATCACCTGGGAGGTGATTTACAGACAGCTCTCATAGGCAACAAAATCCCCTTCACAGCTTTGTCACAGAAAGATGTTCATCTCACAGTTCCAAAATACTTAAAAACCCACCCATTCATCTATTATACACCATCCCTCTGCATTCCCATTTCCCCACAACTGCACATTTATTAGAGAAAGTAAAGTGAAAGGGCTTTAAGTGATGACTCATAGGCACTGACAGGAGAAATCAGCTCGCTTAAATCATTTGACAGGCATATTCCACCAAAAAACAAGCCTGAGACATCAGTGCTGAGGGAAGAGGTCTGTCTCAGCCACGAGAAATGTTTGAGTGCTGGTCTACCATGGCTAATAAAAGTCTGGTGAGCCTAGACAAGTCCCTTGGTCCTTTCTAGGCCTCAGTTTCTTGATCTGTGGAATCAACTGAGCTGACTTCTAAGGTTCCTTGCTTTTTCCAAACAGTATGTGATTCCAGAATACAGTCAGTCTAATTTATCTAGGAGGCGCTCAACTCATCTCTCTGCTATGGAGTTCAAAGACTAAGTAGGAGGAAAGAAATGTAATCATCAGTAATGTTCTATATTGATTTTGTTAAATAATTATATTTTGAATATATGGGGTTAAATAAATCATTAAAATTAATTTCCTATTTTTTAAATTTTAAAATGGCTTCAGGAAGCTTACGATTGCATATGTGTCCCTGACCGGTGTGCCTCAGCAGGTTGGGCATTGCTGTGTAGACCAAAAGTTCTCCAGTTTGATTCCCGGTCAGGACACAAGTCTGGGCTGAGGGCAAGGGCTCTGGTTGCGGGCATGTGAGAGGCAACTGATTAATGTTCCTCTCACTCATCAATGTTTCTCTCCCTCTCATTCTCCCTCACTTCTCCTCCTTTTAAAAAATAAATAAATAAAAATATTTTAAAAAGACTGCATGTGTGGCTCACATTTCCGTTGGACAGTGCTGTCATTGGGCTGAGAACTTTATAGTTAATACAAAACTATGAAAATCATGACCAGCTAAATTCCCTGAGAGTTTGAAAATCTGTCTCAGACAACCTTGCTAGTAACCTCTCGAAGACACTGATTTTACCAAGCAACGTGACACAGAAAAAAGTTCTGAGAACCACCCCATAATCCTCTCTAGTAACTGAGGAAATGCAAGGTACCCATTGGAAGTTACCTAATAATTAACCTTGTCTTAAAGGGGTTGATTTGACTGCAGAAAAGGAGAACAGCCTAATGCTTTTAGTTACCTTAAACGAAGGTGTTTTAAAAAGAAAAACAAAACACTTTTCTCCATGTTTTCAGTTTGAGTCTAAAAAAAAGTTTCTTAAAAACTCAAATAACTTGTAAGCTATTTATTCTGACAATGCAACTGAAGTGTTTTGTGACAGACTATGTACTTTGAAGTGTCTTCCAGTTCTAAACACTGATGCCTATGAGGCCAGGGGAAATGAAACATTTCCCCTGGACTCTTTCTGCTCTTTCAGTCACACAGCCCTGATGTCCAGCCACCAGCCACTTGTAAATACTAGGAGGACACAGGCCAAGTGTGGAGTTGAGGACCTGCTCAAGGCCAATGTCACTTCTCGCTAGGCCATGTGACCCTGGGCCCCTCTCTGAGCCTCACAAAGGGGCTATCAGCACTCACTCTGGTTACCTCTGCAGGGTCTTGTGAAAATCAAAGGTTCCTGTTTATGTAAAAGTAATTTGTATACTGGGAAACAGTGAATACTCATCAAGTAAAGTAAAAACAGTAAAATTGCAATCACCAGATCCTTTCCCCTGCTGTGCTTAACTTGCAGCGATGTAACATGTGAGCCTATGACACTTTCTCAAAATCCCCATCTGGGTGGTCCTGGAGTTGGTACAGACCAACCCTGCCCCAGCCTACTTCTTCTACCTGTACACCAGGGGACGAGGGGACTGGTGATCATTCCCGGGGTGACCCTAGGGCTGCAGGTCCTAAACAGTCAGAAAAAGAGCTCAGTTATTTTCCCCAACTCAAGGACACAGTACACTCTCATTCCCATGGTACAAAGGGAAGCTGATGCACCTTAGACAGCCTTCTGCTTTAAAAATCAGAATTCAGGCTGTTTTCCAAGCAGTCAACTCCTCCCTGAAGTCTCACTGCACCTGCCTGACCTACATGGGGCACACTAGCCCTACTGCCGAGAAATGAGGGCAAATGCTGATCGAGGTGGGTCTCAGCTCTGCCTCCAGAATTCACCAGGCATGTCATGCTAATTTGGAATTACAACTCTGCACCTGGGTCTCCCTCATTAGATGGTACCTGTCTGAGGACAGCATTCTGACCCATCTTTTATATCCGTTCTTAGGTAAAGACTAAGCTGATATGGGAGAGAATTTCTAATACAGAAGTAGACAGAGTAGGATAATGAGCCCCCATGTGTCCTCACTCAGCTGCAAGTTGGGTCCAACCTATCTCATCCCATGGGACCAGTTCAAGAAAGCCCTTTGCCCACTGATTGGAGGTTTTGAACAGGGGCACTTGTTCCATCAATTCTGATAGTCTCAAAAGCGCACCATTATCCTGAAGTTTGCCATTTAAAAAGCTTCTCCCCCTGATATACAGGTGTTCCATATAAAAGGCAGAACACTGACAAGAAAATGAAAATATTTCAAAGAAACCACCTGTATCCTCGCCACCATGAAATCGCTGATGTTAACATGTGTCCATTTCTTGCTAATCTTTTTTTAAATCCTCACGAGTAGATGTTTACTGATTTTAGAGAGGGAGAGGGAGAAATATCGATTGGTTGCACCCCAATCAGGGATCAGACCCTGAACCTTTCGGTGCATGGGATGACAAATGAGCTACCTGGCCTGGGCTTCTGCCAGTCTTTGATTGTGGGCATGTATGTACATTACGTTGTTATTTAAGACTGAGAATTGAGATGACAGAATCCAAGAGGTAGGTTCCCAAATCAAATGCCTAGAAAAATCAGAAAAATGAGTGAAGGTGCCTGTGAAAGACTGGAGGTGGGGTGGTGCTACTATGTGGAATAGGGCATTCATCTGTCAGCTCTTCAGATGTAACAGAAGCCAGAATTCCAGGTATTTCAAAATGGAAAATCAGACTTTTAAATGATAGTGGTTAAGCCATGGCCGGTGTGCACTGGTCTGCAAAGCAAAAGGTGGCTGGGTCGATTCCCAGTCATTGTACAAGACTAGTTTGCAAGCCAGGTTCCCCATTGAGGGTGTGGGACAGGCAGTTGACCCAAATGTCTCCGGTGCATTGATGTGACTTTCCTGCTTTCTCCCTCCCTTGCCTTCCCTCTAAAAAGTAAATAGGGAAAACATTTTAAATTATAGCAATGAATTAATTCAGGCATGATTTAATGCTGTGGGACAACCAAACTGGGCTTTGCTCTGCTAGTCTCCAGTTCGAGATGTTCAGGTCTGGGCTTTATGTTGCTCTTTTCACATTGCTGACTCACAGGTGATTCCCCTAATTGGTAGTCTTTGAAAGCATTTTTTTTCAATTTCCATCAAATAGACATGCTGTCCTTTATAAAATCATTCTTCTACCACTGATTTTGCAGGTTTCCAGTGATTCTTTATTAAGCACTGGTCTTTAAACTTAAATGAGTACCACCCACCAAAAGACATCAGTCCATATTCTGTTGAAGCCTCTTTGCTAAAGGCAAAACCCACATCTTCTATGGGAGTTTACTTTTTGCAGTGTAGCTCAGATAGTAGTTGATTAAGTCTTGGATTAGGGCCTCACCCAAGTGACCTTGAATATTCTAGGACATAGGTGGAAAACACAAGGCCCTCCACTTTGTTTTATTCAGCCTGGAACCTTGTTTCTTGTGGGAAACCACTTCCCATGCTGTGGAAAAGTAGCTCAGCTCTCTTGTGGAAAACCAGTGGGGTGTGTGTCAACACACAGGATCACGTCCGAGGACAGGATTTCCCATGGGGAATCAGGCCTGCATTGTACCTAGGCTGCTATGAGGCTTGCTCTTGCTAAAACTCCCTCTCTCTAAATTGAGGCACAAGGGCTTACTGCAACTTCCTAAAATCTGAGCTAAACCTCCCAAGTATGGAATGTTAATAATCCAACCACTTTTCCCTTTACATTTGCAAATATCCTTCTTCTTTGATGTGATTAGCAACATCCTCTCCTTTGTTGTCTGTAAACGGTAACCACCTAATGAGAACCTGTGCATAGTAAATGAGAACTACCCTTGTAATGTACCCAGGAAAATAAAAGGCTGTCCAGGTAGGGGTCAGGCCCTCTCTCTCTGACTTAGAGAGTGGCTGTGCCATCCCTTTTTTCCCACAGGATTCCTGTAGTCCATGTGTATTTGTTCATGAGCAGCTACAATGTACAAGGGCAGGATCTACCAGTTTATGCCCAGTGGCAGTGCCGAGTTCCTTGTCCCTAGATAAGTACTTACATATATACAATCCTAAGATTATATTCAGCCCTTTGAATGAAACTGAAAGGCTGAAGTGGCCCCACAATGAAAATGAGTTTGACACCCCTGTTCTAGAAAAGAAAATATCTGAGTTACTCGATTCAGTGGGAGGCATTTTTTCTTTTGATTTTATTGATTATGCCATTACAGTTGTTCTATTCCCCCCTCCATTCCCCTCCTCCCTCTACCCCCCAGCCCCCGCCATTCCCCCCCTTTAGTTTATGACCATGTGTCTCAAGTTCTTTAGATTCTATATTTCCCATACTACTCTTGTCCCCCCTATCTATTTTCTACCTACCATCTATGCTACTTATTTTCTGTATCTTCTCCCCCCTTCTCCTTCTCCCACTCCCCTGTTGCTAACCCTCCATGTGATCTTCATTTCTATGTTTCTGCTCCTGATCTAGCTGTCCTTTTAGTTTGCTTTTGTTTTAGGTGTGGTTGTTAATGACTGTGAGTTTGCTGTCCTTTCACTGTTCATCTTTTTTATCTTCTTTTTCTTCGATAAGTCCCTTTAACATTTCATATAATAAGGGCTTGGTGATGATGAACTCCTTGAATTTGACCTTATCTGAGAAGCACTTTATGTCCTTACATTCTAAATGAAAGTTTTGCTGGATAGAGTAATCTTGGTTGTGGGTCTTTGGATTTCATGACTTGGAATACCTCTTTCCAGCCCCTTCTTGCCTGTAAGGTCTCTTTTGAGAAATCCACTGACAGTCTGATGGGAACTCCTTTGTAGGTGACTGTCCCTTTAGCTCTTGCTGCTTCTAGGATTCTCTCCTTCATTTTCATCTTGGCTAATGCAATTATGATGTGCCTTGGTGTGTTTCTTCTTGGGTCCAACTTCTTTGGGACTCTCTGAGCTTCCTGGATTTCCTGAAAGTCTATTTCCTTTGCCAGATTGGGGAAACTCTCCTTTAGTATTTGTTCAAATAAGTTTCCCACTGGTGGCTGTTCCTTTCCCCCTTCTGGTACCCGTATAATTGGGATGTTGGAGCGTTTTAAGATGTCCTGGAGGTTCCTAAGTCTCTCCAGAGACTCATTTTTTAAAATTGTTTCTTCATATTTCCCTGTTTGGCCATTTTTTTCTTCCTTCTGGTTCACTCCCTTGATTTGTGTCCCAGTTTCCTTTACATCACTATTGGTTTACTGTGCAATTCCCTTCATTTCAACTAGTTTAGCCTTCATATGTTCCTATAATTTGTGACTAAAATCAACCAGTTCTGTGAGCATCCTGATCAACAGTGTTTTGAACTGTGCATCTGAAAGTTTTGCTATTTCTTTGTCGCTTAGAGTTATGGGCTCTGGGGCTTTGAAATCTTCTTGAGCCATTTTTGGTCTGTTCATGCCTGTTAAGTATGAGGAGCGGAGCCTTAGATGTTCACCAGGGTAGGGCTGCTCAGGTTGCTGGATTATAAAGCTCTATGTGGGGGCGGGGTCAGAGTGGGAAAATGGTGGTCCCCTCTGCTGCCTCTCACTGCTGGGGCCTGCTCAGTCCCGTCTCACTGCCCACTCCCTCACTGGTCTATCTGCGCACGAATGCTCAACCACAGTCAACCCGCCGCCCTGTGCCCTTGCTGGGTCCACCCATCGCTCGCTGGGTCGCTCACTGGTTCTTCCCGTTGCAACCCCACACCTGGGATCTGAGTGCTTGAGCCTGTATCATCGAGTTTTCCTGTGCAACCTCACTCCGCCAGCTGCTGGCTTCACCCCTCTTACCGATCAGGCTGAAGATTTTGTTGTTATCAGATTTCTGAAAAGTTCAATTTTCTGTGTTCTGGCTGTGTTTTCTGTTGCTAATATCTTGTCTCTAAGCTTGGTTGTGTAAGAAAGCACAGCGTATCCACCTATGCCTCCCTCTTGGCGGAAGTCAAAGGCCAAGGGGAGGCATTTTCAAAAAGGTCTTCAGCCATTAGGTCAAGGGTCACTCAAGAGGTGGATGCAGCAGTGACCCCCGTTTTCCCTTCCTTCCTTCCTTCCTTCCTTCCTTCCTTCCTTCCTTCCTTCCTTCCTTCCTTCCTTCCTTCCTTCCTTCCTTCCTTCCTTCCTTCCTTCCTTCCTTCCTTCCTTCCTTCCTTCCTTCCTCTTTCTCTAGTTGAAAACATTAGGCAAATGGGTAGGAGCTTAGTAAAAAGCACTGTCAGCTTCTTTAGAGCTCCTGGCTCAATGTTTAGGAGTGAAGTACTGTGAGATGGCAGCTTAGGAAATGTTACAGCAAAGATTAAAAAAAAAAAGATAAAGTTAATGTAAGTCATTGTTGAATTGAAGTGCAGGGGATATAACTGTTCTTTGTACTATTTTTCAGTGGTTCAGTATGTCTTCAATTTTTCATAATAGAAGGTTGGAAAACAATTCACCCAGGTTTAAGCACTGCCCCCTTCCTTTTGCAGCCTTTTATTCTAAGTTGAACTGTTTTTAGATGAAGTGGCATATCTTAGGAAAGTACTCAGTACAATAAAATACTAGGAAAACAGTGAGATGTGCAAAACCCTGCACTCCATGCTACTTAGAATTTACCTGTTTAGGTCATATCCTGTTTCAGCAGCTTCAAGAAAAGATAACCCATTCAACTGCCACACCGTATTGTGCTTATCAACGTTTGAGAATACATTTGTGAGGAAGGGAGAGGCTGAATAATGAGTAGATTGTTGCTAAAATATTTTTATTTTTTACCAAGAGCACCCACCACATAGACATCATTCTCTTTTAAATTGCAGAGTTTTTTGAGTGTTAAAATGATTTATGTTCAGTGCAAAGAATATCATGCTTCCAATGTTTTAAGGGACTATGTACATTATGGGTTGCCTGGTTTCATTGCTATTTCATACTTTATGCTTATATAGCATCATTCCTTCTGTGAATCAGATGCTCTTTCCTGAATGGCATATCCAGCAACCAGAACAGTTTCCACCTAAGAAGAATGGCAGAAAATGGTAAACTTAGCAAACACGATGCCCTGAGGCCAGGAGACTGGTACCAATCAGAGCTGCTGAAGTGAAATCGAGAGGACCTTGAGTCTCAGTCTCCTTAGGTTTAAAAGGATAGTTATACTACCTGCGATGAAAGGTTGAGAGGGTCTAATGATGTGTGTAAAAAGGCTTGGAATGTAAGCCCTACACCATTATGACAAATGGGACAAATTGAGCAGCTGCCTGTTTTTGTAATACAGTTTAACTGGAACACAGCCACGCTGTGTCTACATATGGTCTATGGCTGCTTTTGCATGAAAGTTGAGTAGTTACAACAAACCATATGGTTGGCGAAAGCAAGAGTAACTACTGTGACTCTTCATAAACAATGACTAGCTGACCTTGGCCCTACACCACCACGGGCTTTGAACGGCTTTGGATGACGCACAAGCGTGTGGTGATCAATGAATCTCAGAGTCAAAAGGGGCCTTTGGAGAACTTGCACTTGAATATCTTCACTACATACATCCAACATGTGGCTCAGAAAGGTAAAATGACACATCTAAGGTCACACACATTTGATGTGGAATGCTGAAGCACACCACTGCTACCACCAGGGCAAAATTATGGTGGGTAGAGAAAGCACTTGAAGACAGTAAGGCCGACTGGGCCTCATGTTTGATTGGCGGGTGTTCCGTGATCAGTTTGTACAAGGAGGGGGCCAGAGTGAGCTAATCCCAAATGCTGATCTTAACTGAAACCTATCTGTGCCTGTGGCAGCAAAATCTGGAGGCGGGAAGCAAGTGTCCAGGAGTCCAAGGAGGCTCTCCACAAGCCTCCTGTTGAACAGTCTAGGTCTCCTCGATCATCCCAGACCCTCGGCAGCGGCTGGAGAAGGGGTGATGGTGGTGGTTAATATTTGTTAAACATTACTGAACACAGCCTCCTGTAAGGCAAGATACTTTCATGAACTTGTTTGATTTCATTTGACCCTCACAAGCCCCATATGGAACAGGCAAAAACTAGATGCTGAGGCTCAGAGGTTAAGGGACTTGCTCAAAGTCACAAAGCAGAGACTCTACTAGGCCTGTTCGACCTGGAAACCTATGTTTTCCATAGCCGGGTTCAAAGTACATCCCACAGCTGACCGAACTGAGGAGGGCACACAGCTGCTAAGGGGGCTGAGCAGTGGTTCAAACCCGGGGCTTGCGGTGAGTGTTCAGAACTGCAATTCCCAACCCAAGGCAAGTTTCTACCTTTCAAAAGTTTTCGCCCCCTCGCATCTCCAAGCACCCTGAGGTGTTCGGGCTCACGCTCTAGGGCACGCAGAACTGAGTTCAGCCCTGTCAGAGGCGGAAGGCGGTCCTTAGCCGCCCCTCAGTGCCCACCCTGAGGGGTCGTCATCCTGGTCTGGGGGCAGCAAGAGATTCTGCACCCGCTGCCTCCAGCCTGCCGGGCGCCGCCTACCTGCCGCGGGACCGTCAGGGTCCGGTCCACGTGGAAGAGACAGCGCTGGGGGGGAGGGAGCCAAGTCGCCAGATCCCACGCTTCACCTGAGGTGACCGGCTGGCACCAGGAACTGGGTTCGGAACTTCCGGGTTTAGCACTGCGTGCTGCAGGGCACGTCGTGAGGAGGAGAAGAATCCACTCCCACAGGGTCCACTGCGTCAGCAACACTCTGTGGACCACAAATCCCAGAATGCAACGTGCCCCACGCAGTTCCGTAAGGCGGAGCAAGCGGTGGTGGACTTTCCGCTCGCTGACAGAATTCGGTAGACAGTGCGGGGCCATGGTAAGCAGGTGGGTGGTGGAGACTGAAGGAGGTGACGCGCTTTTCGGGTCGGGGTTGGGATTTGGGTCAGGCCTGGGGCCGGCAGGCCGAAGCCAGACATGGTGACTCGGGGAACGCGCGGGAGGTACCTCCGGAGTGGGTTATGATTTGTTATTCCCGGGCTTCCGGTGCGCGCAGGCCACGTGCGCGATCAACAGCGATACTAAAGTTCACAGAGCATTCATTTCAGGTCCGTCAAGTGCTCTTGAGGGCTTTAAAACCGTCATCTCTTTCAGTATATTCTGAATCCCCGTTTGAAAGATGAAGAAATCGTGGGCTAAAGTGGGGGGGGGGTAAGTTGCCCACGGATCCAGAGCTAGTGACTAGGAGTCGGGATTGGAACCCAGACCTGTTCCAAAGCCCACAGCAACGTTCACTGCAGTAGTCAAGGTGTGGGACTGTGCTTCCACTAAAATCCTTGTGCTTCCGTTTGGCTCCTTCACCCCCCTCTCCCCCTCCAGTCTTCCCGCTCCCCCTAACAGGGCTAAGAAATCACCATTTCCCTTCAGCACCCAGATGACGCTCTAAGCAAGCAGAGATTACGAAAGTTACTGTGCTACATAACTAACGGATTTGTACCCCACTGGGACATATACTGTTTGGGGAAATATTCACCTGGCCTGATGGATCCGGGGCTGGGCACCTGCCTACGTATTTTTGTTTAAATGAACGCAGAGGGCTGTGCCTCCTTCCTGTGCCTACTTGAAGTGCCTGCAGGAAGGTGGGCCGGTTGGAGAGTCAGACCCTGTCCCACTCTCTGGCTGTGTATTCCTGGGTAAATTTCTTACCTTTTCTGGCCTTAGATTTTTACTATTTCACACAGCTTTTGTGAAGGTCACATGAGGTAAAGCACCTGGGTTTCCCTTTCCCTCCATCTTTGTCCTGATGGTGACCTCACAAGATGGACAGGAGCCTCACAAGATGTTTTGCAGGTGTTCATTGTGTGATGAGCATGGTCGAGTTCTTCGAGAGAAATGGTCTCTTGTCTCCCTTCCAGGCTGCTGTCCTCCGAGTTGTGATGCGGTTGCCAGTGCCAGCTGTGTGGGGAAGGCCTCTCTACAGGCTGCAGTGCTGCAGTGGGCAGGATTTTAGGAAGTGGGTGGGGAGTAGGTCACCCACATTGAAAGGGAAACCACCAGGCACAGAGACAGAGAAATTCCAGATGATCTACCGGTTTGATGCCATCAGAATCTTTAGGTACTTGTCTCGGCTGAAGGTGGTACAAACAGCCCTGACGGTGGTGGCCCTGCCTCCTGGCTTTTACTGGTACTCCCAGGGCCTTATGGCTTTCAACTCCTTGTGCCTCGTAGGTGGGATAGCTGGGTTTGCCCTGGCCATGCTGTGCTGGATGAGCTATTTCTTCCGGAGGCTAGTGGGTATCCTATATGTGAATGAGTCAGGCACCATGCTGCGGGTGGCCCACCTGACCTTCTGGGGCTGGCGGCAGGACACATACTGCCCAGTGGCCGACGTGATCCCTATGACGGAAACCCAGGACTGGCCTCAGGAACTTTTTGTACGGATCCAGCAGTACAGTGGGAAGCAGACCTTCTACCTCACCCTGCGCTATGGACGCATCGTGGACAGAGAGCGTTTCACACAGGTGTTTGGGGTGCTGGACACACTTAAGTGAATAGCTGGACACTGGGCTTCTGGGTAACCTTGGGCCACCTGGATCTCTGACAGAAGGCTGAAGGTGTGGGCAAGGTTAAAGAAAGGGGACCTGTGAGCTGGAGACTTTGCCAGGATTCCTGGGAAACTTGCCTTTTGGAATGAGTAAGTTCATGAGGCTGATGCTAGTAAGATAGTTTAGGAAAGAGGCCTTAGTGCAAATTTTTACGCACTTGTATATGACATTCATGTAGGTAATGGCCAGCAGGTTCTCTTGGGAGCCAACTGTTGGAAGAAGCTATGCCCCATTCATGCAAACAGAAAGTGCTGTGAAATGGGAAGAAGGGTGGGGCAGGCGGAACATAGGATTTGGAGTTGGAAGACTTGGGTTTTGTTCAACCTTAACTTCTGTCCTGGGCCAGGTAGCTGAGTCTCTCTGAACCTTGGTTTTTCATTTGTAAAGTGGAAATCCTGCCTGTCTCATGGGATGTGTGTGAGAATAAATAATAAATGTTGAGTGCTTTGCAAACTCAGGATGCAAGAGCAAACATGAAGTGTTTGTTTAGAGGTGATGGAGTGGTAGACCCAGCAGCAGACTGGATTGGGATGAAACCTGGAAGTGGGTCATTTGGTCCTGCCAGATGGTAACTACATGAGGGGAATGAGAGTCATCCAAGCAAATATGGCACTCCTGCAAGACAGTGTTTAGTACCCAGAGGGCTTGGGGCTCTCACATCAGATGTCTCTGGACTGTGTGTGCCTGGGCCAATTTTTTGCCTAAAGAATAGATTCTCAATCCCTGGCTCCATATGCGGAATCACCTGGAGAGCTTTTTAAAAGTGTTGTTACCCAGGCCTGTGACCATGCCCCCCAGGTGGTTCTCATGTGTAGTCTGGGTTGACAGTCAATGGGTGGAAGTCTCACCGTACTGGGAGGTGAGAGCCAGGATTCTCACCCTCTTTTACATGAAAAGAGCTTTTGTTCCTATGCACAGTCTGCTGTGTAGTACCAGCAGAGGGCACACAGAGCAAATGCATTATCCATTCCTTTATTCCTGAGCTAAAATCATACGTCTCTATGTGAGAATGGGAATCAGATTAGGGCTTTTACCACATGCATAGGGCAGCACCTAGGAGCCGTGCAAAAAAATCCCAAATCAACAAGACTACCCTGTGTTGAACCCCCACAGGTTCCTGTAGAAACTGGGCATGTGTGTTTTTGTGCTAATTCTAAGGCAGCCCAAGTTTTGAAAATCATTTTGTGGGGTTTATCCTTCCCCAAAACCAAGCAGTAGCTCCTCAGAAAATGGAAGTGGCCTTTGGATTCAGGTGTTGGAATTAGCCGCTTTGACAAAATCTAGCCTCATTAGCAAAGAGGTTACATTGGTGATTAGCCTCTTTAACAATTCCAGCATAGTCATGTAATAGCGATACCCAAGCATCCATATGAGAATATTCACTGAATGTTTCTAACAGCAAAACAAACAAAACACCAACAAAACGAAGTAAGCTGTCTCTGTTACTAGGTAACAGTTAAGTAAATGTTGGCAATGTGCAATTGAAAAATAAAATGTTGGTAGATCCATATTATGGGACATACATGGTGCTTAATCAGAGTTAGACTGATATAATCTACTGATGTGGAAAAGTAACCATGGGGTAATGTTATGTGGGACAAACTAGTTACAGAACAATATAGTCTTTTGTTCTTAATTTTTAAAAAATGCATACATTCCAAATTGTGAACAGTAATTACCTCTGGGGAGCATTCTCGGGGTTGAAGGCAGTGGATGAGATGAAGGGAACGCTCCTGGTTCAACTTTGTAACCCAGTATTTAAAATTTTTATAATGAGTTTGACATGTGTCTTAACATGAAGAAAATGTTGTGATAAATATACAGTGTCTTCTTCCATCCTTTCTTCCTCACGTCAGCTTTCTAGGTAGTTTCTCAACTATGTATTTCCACTGTGGACTGGGAAACTGAGTTGACAGGAAACATTTAGTCACTGAGAGTGTCAGTGGGACGTAACTGTGTCCCCTTGTAGACTGACTTTCCTTCCTGTCTGCTGAGAACAGTGTGGGTTTTGTGCCCCTCCATGCTGCCCGTGGGCTATATATCATTTAGATGCAGGGAATGGTAACGGTCTGTAGCATGTCGATTCTCATATGCTATGCTGAATGGTTGCCATGGACTGAATGGTCCTCCCTAAAATCATATGTTGAAATCATAACCCCTAAAGTGATGGTGTTTGGAGGTGGGGCCTTGGGAGTTGATTAGGGTTAGAGGAGGTCTTGGCGATGGGGCCCTCATGACAGGATTGATGTCCTTGTAGGAAGGAGACAAGACTGAGTATAACAAGGACGGCCATGTGAGCACATAAACAGGGAGAGACACTCAACAAGAACCTTATGGACTTCCATTCTCCAGAACCGTGAGCAGTTAATTGTTTGCTGTTTAGGCTGTCCAGTCTCAGGTATTCTGTTATAGTAGCCGGAGCTGACTAAGATGGGGGCCTCCAAGTTTAGGTCAGCTTTTTGCTGGGGATGTTCATACTGGGCACAGCTGAGAGCTGTGGTTCTTCCTACACTGGTTACCAAAAATTAGACCTTGTCATGGGGCCAGAAATCCCACTGCAGCCCATCATTAAATGACCATATTTAATGCACTACCTGGATCTGGTGAACTTAGCTGCTTGCAGGGCTAGGCTGGGGTGAGTTGCCTGAATAGCCAGGGTTGGAGCTTTCCTTTTGCTGCTTTATGGTTTCAGGGCTTGTGAGTCCCCAGATGGAAAGCAAAGTCCCCTTTGATTCACAGGCATAGTTCAACTTTTATGGCTTTTTTTTGACTCTGCATCATTCAACTATAAAACCTTGGCTGATTAGAATTAGTCAAGCAGGGCCGATACCATCTGGCCATGCTTGTATCAGGTGGTGACAAAACATCCGTTTTCCTTATTAGCAGTTGAAATATATTCCAGGATGTCCAGTTGAGTTTACCTTTGTTGGGAATTAGATTTAATATCTACAAGTGGGAACTTAACTCTGACAGAAATATGTTGTTTAGACCCATATGTGCAACACTATTCACAGATGAAGTGGCAAAGGAAGTATCTTCCATTTAGCACCTACTGTATGCCAAGCAATTATCACATGTAAACCTCCCAGCAACTGTTCCCAAGTTAGCGAGCCAGAGAGAGGCAGTTGTATGTAGGGGGAAGCATGTGGCTTTGAAGCAAGACTTCCTGTCTGCTTGAATCCCAGCCCTGGCTGTGACCTGGGGCCAGTTATACAGTGTCTGTTTGTGTCTTGGTTTCTTCACCTGTCAAGCAATGATAATAAAAGCACCCACTTAGGGTGGTTGAGGGGACTGGCTTACTACATGAAAAACACTTAAAATAGTTCCTGATCCAAGGGAGCACTCCATACATGTTAGTGAGCATTACTGTTATCAACCTCATTTTGCACATGAAGCCACAAGCGGTAAAGTGACTTGCTCAAGGTCATCCAGGCAGCAAGTTGAGTTGGGTCACTCTTCTGCCTTGTCCTGCTTCCCCCAAGAGGGGAAGTACAGAAAATAGAAAACAATGGTTGTTTTTAAAAGTAGTATTCATTCTTGAGGTTCTGGCACCTTCCACACACCTACCTTAGGCCTGTATGTGTAGGATCTCATACTGAAAACTGACCAGTTCAAGTCCACATACCAAGGCCAGTGGCCAGGCCACTGTGAAAAGGTCATTGGTGGTCTCTATCCTTAACCAATCCCATGCTGACTGTGTGCGTGCACATGCTGGCATATACAGTGATTACACATGTGCCATCTTTCATATATCCATGTGTATCCTGGCTTCCAAATTCTGATTTTGAGCTTCAGCTTCCTCATATTGAAAACAGGCATACAAGTACATAGCTCATAGGTTTCTTGTGAAAATTATAAAGCAGAGGTAGAATGTGGTTGCACATCGTGGATGCTCAGGAAACAGTAATTATTATGAGTGATTTAAAAATACATTTAATGGTAGATACTACCTTTCAAGTCAATTGTTTCGTAGACATGTCAGATTTCAGAGCTGGGAGATACCTTGGAAACCATGTGGTTCAAGCCGTAGATTTTACTGGTGAAAAATATAGGGGTAATGGAAGGCCACTGAGACAGCTGGGAGCAGAAGTGAGAAAGCCCACCACCCCTGCTTCCAGGTCAGGACAGCAGGAGGATGAAGGTTCAAGTCACTTGTGTAGGTGTCTGCTGAGCATCCCTTCTGAGCCTCCCTGTTGATTCTAGTCAGTCATCAGCTTATCAACTTTGTTGGCCATGGAGAGAATCTGACTTAATTGGTTTGGGGTAGGGCCCTAGCATTAGGATTGTTTAAAAAGCTCTTTAGGGTGACTCTCAAGTGCATCCAGTGTTAAAAGTCAGTGTCCTGTATGTTTTGAATTCTGTGCTTTTCTTTCCCTTTCCATTCATCCCATTATTGTCCTAGTTAGACTCCCAAGTCATCTTGATGGTGGCAGTGGCCCGACCCATCTCTGCACCTCCCTGTTTGTTACGGAGAACATGCAGGACAATCTCTGAAATGCAAGTTGCAATATCCCCCTGCTGCAAACCTTTAGTGGCTGCATCACTGTGTGGAAGGCCCACGCCCTCAGCACAGCACAGAAGGTCCTCTGGATTGGAGCCCTGCCCATTTCTTTTGGCCCCTCGTCTCCAGGGGTTGCTGGAATCTCTCCCATTGTGATCTAGTCATGCTGAACAATGTAGAAATGCCTTCTGCCTCCCCCCATCTTTTGTCCCTTCAGTTAGCTATTCTCTTGAACTGGATGCTTTCCCTCCCCCCCCTCTGAGTCCCTGAAGCAGTTCCTGCTCAACCTTGAGGAGGAAACTCAGGGGGCCCAAATTCCCCCCCAACTTAGGACCAATCCTTTGTGCATATATGGCATCCAGGGTCCTCCTATATCCTTGTCCTTACGCTAAGTTGATAAGACCTTTGCTCCACTGGAAGGTGAACTGAGAGTAAGGACCATACCTTGTCCATCCCTATCACATGGTATCACCTTGTGAGCTCTGGAGAAATTAATGGCTCACACCCAATGCAGGTAGAATGTTCCCTGAAGACATCCCTAAGAGGTGTATATAATAGGTGTTTAATAAGTACTTGCCAAATAATTAAAACCATTTCCAGCCCTGGCTGGCGTAGCTCAGTGGATTGAGCGTGGGCCTGCGAACTAGAGTATCGAGGTTCAGTTCCCAGTCAGGGCACATGCCTGGGTTGCTAGGCCAGTTCCCAGCAGGGACTCACGAGAGGCAACCACACATTAATGTTTCTCTCCCACTCTTTCTCCTTCCCTTCCCCTCTCTCGAAAAATAAATAAATAAAATATTAAAAAAAAATTTCCAGTCAAGAAGGCCACATTCACTCTGATGTTTCCATTATAAATATATTTTTTTAAAATTTAACAATACTGATTAACACAGGAAGTATTCATGGAATTGTGCAGATGGTCATCAGTTACATTGTGACGTTAATTTCTTTATCATTTATTGGCACTGTCAACAGAATACTGTAAACAAGATCACTTTGTATGCGTAAGTTGGCGATGCTCCCTAGCTGTGGTTTTTCTACCATGAGCTAATATATATATATATATATATATATATATATATATATATATATACACACTATATAGATAAGTATAGCTATATTAATGTGCACAGTTTTGCATGGTTACTGTCAGTAAAAATTATAAAAAAAATCCATTTATAATAAAAGGGAGGATATGATAAGACGCACTATTACTGGACCTT